TATTTTTTTGTAATATATTTGATTGATTTTTTACAGAGAGGAAGGGAGAGATACAGAGAGCCAGAAACATCGACGAGAGAGAAACATCGATCAGCCGCCTCCCGCACATCTCCTACTGGGGATGTGCCCGCAACCCAGGTACATGCCCTTGACCGGAATCGAACCTGGGACCTTTCAGTCCGCAGGCCAACGCTCTATCCACTGAGCCAAACCGGTTTCGGCAAAGCATAATTCTGAAAGGCAGGAATAAAAGGAAAATGATATTTTCTTTGATTCCTTTTGTCAAAAGAATAAAAATGAAATTAAACTAAATGGATTTCATTAGAATTGCAGTACCTTCCAATATGGCTAAATATATGTTTGTAACTTTGTTTGGTTAAGTCTCAACAATTGGCATTTATAATTTCTAAAAATCTTTTCCAATATTAAGTCTAAAACTTCTTGGAGCCTTATAATTATGTCTGTCAGAGCTCAGCCTATATAATTAAAGTAAATCATTTTAAAGTATGCAAAAACAAGCTCTAGTCTGTTAAATCAGGTTAGAATGAGCTCTCATGTTATTTGCTCTACCTTGAAATTTCCTTTCAGCTTATCTGTCAAAAGTTTACTTATTCTTGTCCGGCTGGTATGGCTAAGTGGTTGAGCATCAACCTATGAACCAGGAAGTCACAGTTCAATTCCTGGTCAGGGCACATGCCCAGGTTGTGGGCTTGATCCCCAGTAAGGGGCATGCAGGAGGCAGCCAATCAATGTTTCTTTCTCATCATTGATGTTTCTATCTCTCTCTTCCTCTCCATTCCTCTCTAAAATTAATAAAAATATATTTTAAAAAATTTTACCCATTCTACCAGGCACTAATTCAGCTTAAATGATGTCTTCAGCACAAAGCGCCCTACGCCTAGTAAGAGTATTTCATAAATATCTGCATAAATAAATGAATGGCTTAGTAAGTATTCAAAAGACCTTAGAGATGACAGAGTCATCTTCTAACTCACAAATAATTAACTTAATAATCATTCCCATGAATAGTTCACAATCTGGTGTGTAGACAAAGCAAAATCAAAGATTTCAAAATTTGAGATTAAATTACTAATCTGAACAGATACCACCCTAAATGGCTGGTCGTTAAAATAACAAGAATATTATATTCTAGTTACTTGTCTTCCACTGCAGTGGCTCCAATTAAATTCATGTTTGTCTCAATATCATCAAAAATTGTTTCCAATTTTTCTTCTCTCTGTTGTAAGGCCAATTTTGCCTCTACGAGCTGTCTGTCAATTCTTTCATAAGCATCTGGAGGAATTTCTTTGAAGGCTACACAAAGTGTCCGATACCCATCCTAGAAGCAAAGTAGGAGATTTCTAGTTATTCAAATAATAACAGGGGGGAAAAACACATTTTCTTTAAGTACTCTTACTTTACCAAACAAAGAGAAATTCTGATATATTTTTAGTTTTTAAAAAAGAACAAATTACAACTAAAAAGGTAACATTCAATTAAGTTCAAAATAACAAAATATCCCTAGGGGCAACCCCCCCCCCCCCAGAACACAATACATTCTTGAAAAGTCTTTAAGGCTCCAAATTCTGAAGAGAAACTTGCTCTAGAAAAATGTTTTATATTAAAATATGGTAAACACTATTACTAAAGCCCCCAATTCTGAAAATAAACCATAAAGAGATGCTAAAATTCACTTAAACAGATATTTAAATAAGTCATTTCCAGCATTTTTCTATTTCTTGGGGGGTTAGAGTGAAGGCTCACCATTGAAGTTCGTTCCACATGTGCTTTGGTTGACTCAATGTTATGATTATGCACCCTGGGGAAAATTGCTGAGTCGGCACCTTTACAAAAGAGAAGTATGCCTCCTAAAATAAAAAACCAAAGTAGTCGACTTAGAATTTTAAGCCTTGTACTGGGACTTTAATAACATTGAATGATTAGGGTGGATATTCCCACTCAGCTGTTATGTATCCTGAGCCTGCCTTGAAATGCTCACCCAAATGGAATGAGACATCTTGACCTTTGCATTGTCAGGACAACATTCACCATCTCTTAAGATCGATATGGACACAAGTGATAACTCAGAGTTTACAACATGCACCTCTGTTAAAATATACTTTCTTCTAGTGAATCATGAAAGTTTATGCTTGTGTCAAGTGCATCTGTATTATCTTTGAAAATGTTGTCAACAATGGTCTAAAGAGCACCTGTGGCATCTACTGATGTCAAAGACCAAACTTAATCTCAAACAAGGTAAACTCATTTTAAATAAACTATATAAATTAGCTTTTAAAACAGTGGCTTGATGGTTTTTACCAGAAACTTGAGGCTAGCTTTGTAGAAGACAGTTGAGAATACATTGTACTTAGTAGCACAAGTACAGCTTTATATCAGTCCATGCACTCAGGAAAGGCCAGAGTGCTGAAGTAAAATTACAATGCTCTTTCATATTAGGCTGGCCATTAGTTATCTCTAGCTCACCAGCCTCCAGGGAGTATAAACCAATGGGGAATGAGGAAGGTCAGGGAGGGGTAACCAGCAACTCTACACTCAAGGGCTTTACTGCTAGTAATTGCAAACCCCACAATTGTACTGAGCTATTGCATGTAGACATTATTGGTGATTGGTCAGTACCCAGAACAAAAAAGTCACCCTTTCAGTTCCTATTTGGACAACCATGACTGAGTAGAGCTCAGTTTCCAAGAAAAGGCATACACTGTCATACCAGGGGTTCTACTAATGACAATTTGACAAGTGAATACATGTGCTTACTTATATAAATACATGAAGGCCTATATAAAGCTACTGCTTTATATGTTAGGTAATCATATACTACTACATTTAATGTTTTCTTTCTTGAAATTGTTGATTAAATATAAATCTAAAATGGAAAAAGAGAAAAAGTTATTTTTTCAAAAATGCATACCTTCTTTAGTCTTCACAATAACACTCATACGACGGCGGACAGAATCAAAGTTTAAGGTGTGAAGAAGTTTATACCTTTATGAGAAGAAAAATGAGAAAAGTAAAATACCTAGACCATACTGGGAAAAATAAATTACAAGAGAAATATCTTAAGATATTTAAACATCTTTAATGAACCAAGCTCTTCTCTTTGGGTAAGGGGTGCTAGTTATGTGTACAACTGGGGGTTTTTACTGTGTTTTTGAAATGTCTCTGTATTTAGAGCATGCTGTCAGAGGATACCATTGTTGGTAAGGGGTATCTGTATCTTCCCATTATATTACTTAAAATGTAAGGAGTGAGTGACTACATAGGAATAGGGGACAAAAAGATGTCCCACCGAGCAATATCTGAAAGGATCTAGAAATAGTCTCACCCTGACAATTATTTCAATCATCTATGGAATGTCTAATATGTGTCAGGCACAGTGCTAGGTGCTAGAAAAGACAGGAATCTCCTCAGACCCTTCCCTCAAAGGGCTCCTCATTTGATAAGGCAATCAGAGGGTAAGGTAATAAGATGACTACCTTCCAGTCTGCCAAAAACTGTAATAAATAAAGGAACTCATAGGGGAGATGTGAGTGTGCAGAATGAAGACATCCGAAGGAAGGCTTCCTGGAAATAGTTGTACTTAAGTTGTGCTCTCTAGAAGTGTTATGATGAAGAAAGAGTAGCATGGCATTCTGATTAGAGGGAAGAGTATGTGCAAAGGCACAAGAGTATGATTACATATGGACCATGGTTGGAATATACAGTAGTTCACTAAGGCTTCACATCTAATTGATAGGGGAATACTAAAGACTCTAAGCAGGGGCTGGGAAATGAGAACATTGTGGGCCACAGATTTGGGATTTTATCCTAAGAGCAATAGAAATCCACTGAAAGGTTTAAACAGTGGATGATATGATCAGATCTGTGTGTGAATGGCTGAGCTATATTAATCAAATGAAATGATGCAAAAGGGTAAAAATATGAGTTATTTTAAAAATGTAAGATTTTTTTTTGAAAATAAACAATTTGGATACAAGCATTTGTCCTAAAAATATCACAAAGCTTGTTTTTGATGGGAGGGAGGAGGTCATTATTTGAGGATATGTGTGTGTAAAACATAAACATGTAGTATTTCATTTGGTGTTGGCCAAGATGGGGGCACTAGTTGCAAACTGGTTAGAATCTGGACAGATGATGACTCTGGGTTCTTGGCAGTCAGGCCAAAGAGCCTTCCTCTGGTTTCTGAGCATCCCTCCCTAAAGGTGCATCTACATGTATTACATCATGAGATGTTAGGGGCCAGAATGTAAGTCAGGTAATTAAATTTCAACTTCAGATGAAGGACTTCAAATAAATCATAGAGCCTAATTCAAATCTGCCGTTAACTAAAGTGGCTTTGTTCTTTGAGGTCTTTGTAGGGGAAGACACTGATGCATTAGAATACTTGCCCCGAGGCTTAACCCTGATCATCTAAAACAGTGGTTGTCAACCTTCCTAATGCCGCGACCCTTTAATACAGTTCCTCATGTTGTGGTGACCCCCAATTTCATTGTTACAAATTGAACATAATTAAAGCATAGGGATTAACCACAAAAACAATATGTAATTATGTATGTGTTTTCTGATGGTCTTAGGCAACCCCTGTGAAAGGGTCATTTGACCCCCAAGGGGTCTAGAACTGCTGATCTAGACCAAGACAAAGCTTCTAACACCAAAGCTGCCATGTCTGGCTAGGCCTGAAATCCCAGAGTTATTGGTTGGGTTCTGGAAATAAAGTTTTATGCATGTTCACTGATTTTTCTTGCAGCATGTGTTGGAGACCAGAAATGGTATTTTGCTGGGAGCCGGTCCATCCTTGCTGTTTCAAGGGACCTGGCATATATGGCATACTGTTCTTAATATGTTTGCTCACCTTCTTGGCACTATGTGTTTTAACCAAGGCCACCTCTCCGAGAAAGGTTGTTTCCCCAGGTAGAGATTTTCCCCTGAAGTTAGGGAGGGAATAAAACCCCTTCACTAAGTGCC